AATTACATTGAACAGAAAAAGACATACTACTTGTTTTATAAACAATAATTCATTATGTTCCTGTAGAGACAAAGAAATACATGTATCTTGTTTTTCTGAAGGCTTATGCTTCTCTCCAGCTGCTCCACACCTGAGGAACACTGAAACATTAGGAAGGATCATATTATTCAGCTGTGATTATACAGCATGAAGAGGTCAAGCTCTATGCTCAATTTCAAGCTACTATTATGATGTGAAGAGTAATTAAAAATAATGATTACTTTTTAACTTGCCTACAACTTTTACAGTTTTATTTGTTTTCTCTCTTGGGAAGGTTTGGAAAGGGAAGGGAAGGTTTGGGAAGGGAAGGTTTGGGAAGGGAAGGGAAGGTTTGAGAAGAGAAGGTTTGGGAAGGTTTGGGAAGGGAAGGTTTGGGAAGGGAAGGGGAGGGGAGGTTAAGGGTGGAAGAGGGGAAGAGAGAGGAGGAGGAAGGGAGGAAGGAAGGAAAGAAGAAGAGAAAGGAATGAATGGGAAGAAAGGAAAGAAAGGAAGAATGGAATAAAGAAATAAAGATATGAAGAAAGAGGGAAAGAAAGAAAGAGGGAAAGAAAGAAAGAGGGAAAGAAAGAAAGAGAAAAAGAAAGAAAGAGAAAAAGAAAGAAAGAGAAAAAGAAAGAAAGAAAAAGAAAGGAGTAGGCCTAGTCCTGCTTTCACGGAGGTGAATAGAGAGATTTTTACTGATTACAAGGTCAAGAGGAAAAATAATTCACATACCATCACTATTTGACACTCGTATTGCCAGTGTCAGTCACTAAGCCAAAAACAGCTAGATGTCAACACTTAAGAACTGCACACTCTTACAAGTATGGATTGCTGGAAAGATAATAGGAAGACAGCCTTGTACTGACACTGCCTATGTTGCATCATTTTAAGCAAAAAACAGATCTTATTTCAGTCTGTTTCTTCTGTCCCCATGTTAAAGCCTCCTTTGTCTTCGGGGTGTGGATTTTGCACTGTTGGCCTCTGAGGAACATCTTGGCAGAGACACTATGAGAACCAATTGAAACTGTCTGCATGAATAGTTGTAAGCTTCTTAAGCGGCATAAGGAAGACTGTGGTGTGGCAGTTTTCAGGTACAAACTCACCTACCCAAAAGTATTGTAACAGCAGAAAACAATTAGCCTCCACCAAACTGTTCCTGGAAGATTTGATATTATATCTGAGAATGCAAAAGTTAAACAATCACCTTAATTTTTCCCAAGTTATGCAGGAAGGCCACTCAGACCCACAGTGTTTCACTTAGACGTGCATGCACACACCCCCCCCCACACACCCAGGATAATACATAAAAAATTGATACTAAGCTGTCTTAGCTAGAACAGCTGGGACCAGCTCATCACTGTGTGGGTGTAACCCAAACTGTGTATTCTATACCCTTCCATGCCATTGCCCAGAAACTGTTAACAATAAACCATTTACAGCAGCTGCCCAGAGCACGCCTGAGCCCTCAGGTTATAAGCTGGGTGTTAGAGGCCTGTGAGATAGGAGGATGCTCCTGTCCTCACACCCATTGTGGAACTCCCCACCCTGAGGGAGGTGCTGGGCATTCCTGCCTGAACCTGAGGATACATAATCTTGGGGTCTGGGACTTCTGTACCACTTGTGGGATCCAGAGAAGGACTGGGACTTGGGCTTTGGTGTAAATAAATGCAGCAGATTATTATTATTTGTCTACTTTTGCTTTGAAAAACATCTTTTTTATGTCCAAGATATTCATGCTTCTATTATTTACAAATTATTTCAGAGTGTAATGTCCTAATTCTTATATCCAGGAGCTGGCTCTTAGAATTCAGGTTTTTCCTTCTTTTATTTTTTTGTTTAATTTTTGTTCTGTTGTTCCTGAAAAATCCCATTTGTAGTACTCCAAGACTTCTATAAATAATTATCAGTACAGACTGCTTGCTATAAGAACTGTAGAAATCAGGGAAGTCTTGAATGTTCACTGGTGTCTTTTTCCTGAAGTAGTGTATCTTGCATATATCTCTTCCCCTTCCCTCTCCCCAGAGTATTTGTCTTGGATCAAAAAACCTGGCAAAATCACATAAGGGAGTATAAGTTTTTGCCATGGGTCACACACCAGCTTCTTTGTGCCCTCCAGCAACAGATATTTTTTACTTTGATTTAGAGAACTGTTTTACATCTTAAGATATGAAGATATGTCTGGGATTCTCATTCCTGTTCTCGGTGATTCAGCATTGTGCATTTCAACATCTATTTGCGAACAACTGCTACTAACAGACTCATTAGAAAGAAAGCTGTGTTTATTTGCATGCTGTAGCATCCCAGTTGTTAGATGTTACCGCTAACAGCATAGAAAAAATGAGAGATGTGTGCTTGCTCCAGAAAACATGGGTACTTTTACTGCTCATTTTTCTTATTTGTGAGAGATGACAATACCTGAAAAGCATATAGGAAAATTTTCACAATAATGGTGCAGTGACAAGAGTCACAGTTTGGTAGCCATTGAACTTCATACAATGCAAAAAAATCATCCTTGGTACAAAAACCTTACAATCTAAACACAGTATAAGAAGTAATCACAGGCCAAGTATGAAGATAAAAGCATTATCACATAAGAGACAATGAACTCTATTCTCAATTCTCCCACAATAATGACAGAGTACATTCCCTTTGGATTGATATGTAATATTATGCTTATCTTCTATAATGTTTATAACAGACTGTAGAAATCAACTGCTCCACGAAAAAAACACAACCCTCTAATTTTCCTCTTCATGCCTTGATTAATAGAATTGTCCAAAAGTAGTTAAAAAATGTAATTTTTCTGAACACTGTGTTATGACATTTGAATAAAACAGATCACTAGGAGGGAGAAAGTGAACCTAAGGAAGCTGTAACCTCTAACGAACCTAACCTAAGGAAGTGGGTATACCTCTGCTGAGTTTATGTCTAGCACCCAATGCCAGCCAAATGCCAGTCAATCTCTTACTAGGAAGTTGTGAAAACGAGGAAGAATGGTGAGAAAAACCCAATTCTTGAAAAGTCAGAGCTCATCAAAAAGCTTCTCTCTTTCTTTTTGCATCAGAAGCTTGGAAGTGGTTTGGCATTTTGGATTTCTGCAATCATTTGCCCGTTCTCAGGACCAGATAAAAAGCACAGAACAGAATGCAGGAAGGACAAACAATAGTTTCCACTAGTATAAGCAAAAGTGCTTTGATATTTGGTAAATCCAATAGGAAGCTTAGAACACTGGCATTGGGAAAGGCGATTTGCCTTTTGAAAGGTGTGAACTGGAAACTTGATGCCACCCAGTGTCAGTAGGTATCTGTTCCCATGAACGGTCTGGAACTCCGGGGTTCCCTTCGAAAAGAGCCTGGAGCGCACTGCTGCCAGCTAAGGCACACACAGGATGAAGAACAGCCCACTGAAAGGGATGTAAACGGTGAGGGTGAAGACCCCGCTAAAATTGAGCAGTTATTCTTCCCTTGCTGTACCTCTCTTCACGAAAAATGCCAGACATTGCAAACAAAAATTGCCATTCAAATGCTGTTCAAGCCCAAATGCATGTGGAATTCCATTAAGTACTTACATTTTTGACACCATATGGAAGCAGCATATCTCTTATATGTTAGAAGTGGCAGTAAAATGCATGGCAGCTCATACTGCTCACTGGCAGATCACTCTATAGGTAAAAAATGGACTGGTCATGACAAAAAGTAATTTTAAAGTATTGTTTTATTTTAAAATTTGAGTACTCTTTTGAGGGTTCCTTTGGGATGAAGACAGAGGTGCATACCCTGCCACATCAGACAACTATGGAATTCTTCTGTAAGAAAAAACTGCAAAATTTTAGCATCATAAAATTTGACTAATAAATGGCCAGGCAGCCAGTGTAAGCACAATAATATTGGTCTGGCTGGAGATTTCTTCCACTACTAAAGGTGGTAGTTTAAATAAATGGGAATAGTAATTACAATAAAAAGAAAAAAGCAAACCCAAAACCCAACAGCAGCAGCCTACAGAATATAGGATTTAACTAAAAAAAAAAATAATTATGTTTCTTTTACATGAAAAAATCAGTCTTATTTCCTGCATCTCACTTATTTTATAGTTCCTATTCTTTTTGTCCCATTACCTGTTTTGCAGATGACTTGCATATTGAACTGTTCAATGTTTTCATAAACAACTCTTCTTGAGCCGTTCAAAAAGAGCTATAAAAACAGGGATACTGACCTTGTCACGCAAGCAAGTTGTTTCTGTAGGTTCTGTAAGAGCTCCAACAGAAAAGTAACTGTTGCCTTTCCAGGCTCCTGACCGGATGAAGGATTTGTTTCTCTCTCTCCAGCATCATGAGTATGGAATTGTATCAATGATCTCTCACATTTTTCCAGAATTTATTACTTCACCTCCTACTGTTCAGAATCTTCATGTAACAGGAAAAGGAACCCTAACTTTAGAGATGGAAAGACTATACTATGAGAAAACCCCAAGTGTGTCATGAGCATCGTACACTATTAGTGCCATGGTACAGCGCTTAAGTGGAATGGCCAGGAATGCCCTTTGACTCTCACACTCAAACTATCTCACCAGTTAAGAAAAAGTTTTATGTCAACAGTTACTTTGGTCAACATCATTATCCTGCATTAAAACATACCACAATGACTTTTTGGTACATAAAAGCATTCAAGATATATTGATCTTGCCTGCCAGAATTTTTTCCCTGAGAACGCTGTGTTGGGAAGTTTAATAGAAGTCTGTGCATTTACTCACCCTTCTGGGTATGTGTAAATACCTCACATACGTAGTTAACTAATTTTTTTCCCCCATATGTTTCTATGCTCTTTCAATGTTGGAATATAATAGTATCTGGAAATGTTTAATATTTTTGAGAAATATTAACTCAGGTAACAATAGTATTGCATCTACTTTGTAATCCCAGCACACAAACCTGTTCTCTCCCCATGCTTTAGTACTTTAAAAAATTGTTCAAGATAGGAATATTTCATGGTTATCAACAGGCAATATTTATTATTATAACTGTGGACTCTACACATATAGTTGCATAAAATTATAATAGATCAATCAACAAAATCATGTTCATATGCAACTGTAAATAGCACTTTAGCAGAAGTTTAACATGTTGTGCATTAGTTGTCTTAGTAAGGTGACAACATAGATTTATTTCATGGGAATACAACAGTGCAAACTTTCACTCAGCGCATACACACAAACACATGAAAAGGATTGCTATACATGCCACAGGTTTAAAATAAACCTCAAATCGATCCCTCCCACACCAAAACAAGTTAAATGAGTAAGTACCAGCACTCTTAGCAACCACCAGTGTTACCACATTTGAAATCTTATTTGAAGAAATGTCCTTTGATTGGAGTTTTAGGTGTAATGCAGCTATGTTATGTTTTTGTTTGGCAAGATTGAAAGACTTACAGCACTACAGAAGCACTTAGCCAGTATATTACCAGTGATGTCTGAATTACTACATAAAGTAACTGTGTAGAATACTTGACTATTGAAGGAAACAGTGTTTTTATTTCAAAAAGTGACATACAACCAAAATTCAAGTACTTAGTGTTAGACTATGGGTAATTCTGACTTTCTGTTCCTGTGCACTACATAAAGCAGATGAAGCATCATTTCATTTTTCAATTTTTATTCTTCCCTCTGGCCTGGGGAAAGTATAGAGGGAAGAACCAAACTATAGCTGCAATTCTACATCTACAGCAGTTGGTGACAGGCATATGGGCACAACTGTCCAGATCAAGATGACCTCCAGATTGTCAACATGCAGCCTTAATACTCTCAGTTCACTCCCATCTCAAGACCTTCTTGTTCTTGACTGCAAGAGCCCTGTTGCCCCCTACTTTTTATTTGCATCCATTTCACCACCTGTTCCAATCAGTTGCCCAGGCAGCTGCACAAGTGAGCATCTTAGCTGCACAATGTCATCTTTGGATAATCAGGACATAAATGGGCAGAACAGTTCCTCTCTCATAACAGGTTTTGCGAACATCTGGAGAGATATTTACACTTCCACCTCAGCACCAGTGAAAAAGTGCTGAAGACCATATAAGCTCGAAAAACACTTGTTTAAAAAAACCAAATTCTGATTCAGTACATTTAAATTCCAAAGAAAAAAATGGCCTCTTGTACTATTTTAATTACTGTCTAGATTAAAACTATTATGAACTACTAATTTTTTAAAAATTATAAACACATTTTCTCCTGTTACCAAGTTAACCTCAAGACAGGAGTTAAACAGAAGTTACCATAAGCTTTGGTGAAAAAATCCTATACCTAGAGAGTTACAAAGAAGAGTTCAGACCGTAACAAAATTAGTAGCAGGCATGACTACAAAAGAAAAAAAAAAGTAGTGAGAAATCTAAAATTTGTCTCTCAAAAAAAGCATTTATAGCTTTTGGTGCACACAGAGAACACATCTTGTGAACATGGGGAATCAGAATGTGGAGGCTGTTTTACCAACTTTGCAATTTAATTGAGGAACAACAGACAACAGAAGTGTGAAAAACAAGGCCCACATGTATCGTGATTTAGTCCTCCAGTGCCTAAATATTTCTTGTTTTGAAAATGACCAAGTACAGCAGAGACTGTGCTTTCAACAAGGAAATGAAAAAAACTAAATTTAGGCTAGCCCTCTTCGAAGCATTTCTGCAAGCAGTGTAACCACTATATTAATACATGAACAACACTTCTATTTCCCTGAATTTAAGGGCAAATAAACCATCAGAAACGCACTTGTAAAAGGATGAAAGCATCAGAAAACTAGAAAGCAAGCAAGGACTGTGTGCCTGTATATATAAATTTCTATAAACACACACACAAATGGTTGGGTTTTTTTGTTAATTTGTTTGTTTGTTTTCTTCGAATCAAAGCAGAACACAGTGTATTCTTTCAAATGGGTTTTGGATGGGCAAGTATGAGTAAGATGGATAAAGAAAATGACAAAGGAAGATTTTATTTCCTTGGCAAGTGGAAGTACAGAGATGTTACTTGCAGCACTTACTGTTCTTACCTTTTAGATCCCAACTCATCACAAATTACAGGATAACTACATCAGTGGTGGAATTTACCACACAACTTACATTTTCAAAATTATTTATTTTTCTTAATAGTATCCCCACTTTACACAGGCTACGAACCTGAAGGAAACACATCTGCTTCTGAATGTCATAATAGTATGTGTTTTGGGCTGTTCAAAGTCAAAGAAGTAGTCCTGAGATTTCAGATGTTAAAGCTTTCTCCACAGCCACATGTTCCTTTGATGTTTGGATTATTGAAAACAAATTCACTGGACAGCTTATCTTCTACATAGTCCATTTCAGTTCCTAGAAGGGTCAGCTGTGCCTTCTTCTCAATAAACACTCTAACTCCTTGAAGATAACAGAAAAAAAGAGGAATTACATACAGCAAAACCGGCATTCACTTTGAAATTCTCTTTTGCCAGGTGATTAAAAAAAAGGAGCTAAATAAGAAGACTACCAGTATAACTTGGTTTCCCTGGTCTAATTTCATCACTGTTTTCACTCTACACAGAAGTTTGGCAACAGTCTAGAACCGTTACTTGTGTGTGGACATGCATGTCTGTATTGTGATGGGGGACAACAAATAATGATACTGAGGAAAATAAGCTGTAGAACCTGTGAATGAGTCTCAGCTTCAGTACACAATTCCCATGCATTACAGACAGTAAACCATTTCATACCCTTCTTAAAGTCTGTGAATCCAACAAGATGACCCAAAACTTTGAAAAAACAAATGTTCTTCTCTCAGAATGATTGGTTTTTGCCCCCTCTCAATGTTTTTCTGCTGCACCAGAAACTCACCATCTTGAACTACTTCTTCATCAGAGTCTCCTTTTGATTTTGTATACTCTAATGTGTAAGAAAGTCCATTGCATCCCCTTGTACGAACACCCACTTTCACACCCACCTAAAAAAAGAAAAGACAACAAAAAGCCACCATGACATGCATGACTTCTCTTTTAAAACCTATTGTGGAACATCAAGTTAAAAAGTATGCAGAACAACAAAATGCTGACATTTATTTTTCTTCACTGCCTTAACAGAAAAGTGAATTACCTTAATGGATTAAGAGGTAACATGTTTTTCCTTTTACAGATTTGACTGCCAAGGTAAAAGAAAACATCAGATACTTGCTGCTGTGGATCAAGCCTTAAAGGATGTTAAAGTTTTGAAATAACACATTGTTGGCATCCTGGTAGGTACCGGGTCTCATAAAGACAGTCAAATTTCAAAGACAGTATTTTTGTGACTTTAAGTTGAAGATTACTGATGGTAACATAATTATAAAGCTGTGAGACCAGACAAGGGCAGTTAATAGATTTTCACAGAACTCTTGTAATGACGCCATCAGAAAATTTAATTCAAACCGCAGTTCTGAAAAAACTTTGATTTTGTCACTACCTTTATTGCCAGTTTCACCTAAAAAGCAATCCCTTCAAGTGTGTATATTTGCTTACTGTTTTAATTGACCTTAAAAGCTAACCTAGTCAATGTTTGTAACACGGCATTCAACAAGTCTGACAAAAAGAGCACATCTGTAAGGAAAGCGCTGAGAAAAGGTTTCAACGAAATCGAAAACTATCTGTGCACAACAATCTTTCAGAAGTATCTGTATCACCTTCCACACACCAGTGCTTCATAACTGAAGAGGCAAATTTTGTTATCTATCTCTGTAATCAATGTTATGATAAAAATGTATCAAAACATATCACCTGCCATCAAATGGGCTCTCAGACAAACTACATCTGATCCTTTCAGACTAAATACCTTTCTCTACAGGAACTGCTACCAGTAATGGGCTGGAAAATGTAAACACCATTCACAGCAAGGGAATGACTGACCATGCAACTTGTAGGCTCAAGGCCTCCTCAGGATGGTTTAAAACATTAGAACAAATAGTCTAATGAGTTGCAGATGTGCAGGGAGCAAAACAAACAATGGGCCTTGTAGGAAAAAGAAAAGAGAAATAATTCTTCTTGTAATAGTAATACTTACAGTAAAGAAAATCTAATGCTTTTTTTTTTACAATGGCTATAAAAAAAGACTCTGTGTGTCTTTTGCTGAAGAAGAAAAGATGACAAGCTCAATTAGTTATTTGGGGAAACACTGATTACATGAAAAATACATTGTCTGGCAGGTTTCCTAAGAATTAGATGTTTTCTAATGCATGAATATAACTTTATTGCATACTTCACAGTGAGAATTTCTAAAAGAACTTAAATTACTTCTTAATATCAACAGCTGAAGATCTCTTTCCCCTCCAGAAGTCACCACTGTGCCATACTAAAAGGCTTCATTAAAATGTAGCTCAAAAATATCTGAAGCTTAAAACTTCTTCAGTGTTTTTAATCTGAACAGTAACTGTGCAGTGAAATGTCATTACAGTTGGTTATTTCCTGCATTTCATTTAATTCCTGCATTTCATTTTATAACAAAATGAAGCTTGACAGAGAAACAATCTTATGCATTCCCCTCCAAAAAAAAGATGTCAGTATCGCTAATGAACACCTCTGTGTTTATTTCAAACTTCTAAGTTAGCCAGAAATCGTCTGCAATCATGAGCTGAGCTGTGCTAATACCTTAGCACAATGTACAGGCTGACTCTGTCTATCTATACTTACATGCTCAGGTTTATCTTTCAGAAGCTCTTTTATCTTCTGAACAGCAGATGGGGTCTGAAAGACAGAACCATACACATAAACTTGAAATTATTCTGTTTGTTTATTTGCTGTGTTTGGATGTATTAAAGTGTGCAGTGTACTGAATTTCACTGTAAAAAAATTTTATTCCAACTCCGTGTACTCAGATTTTCTTAGTTTACATTTGTCTTCTATCTGCAAAGTTCCCCTTCAGCATCAGCCACCTATCAGTATTGACTATTCTGTGTTCTACTTGAAACTGATGCCTGTTCTGAAGATACACACTCTGCTGTAAAACAGATGTTGAAACTAATCCATATAGAACACAGTAACTCTTCACTTGCCTCCTCACCCACCTCAAGTGCTTAAAAGTAGGGGGTTTGGTTGTTACAATCATAGAATAGTTTGGGTTGGAAGGGACCCTAAAGATCACCTCGTTCCAACCCACCTGCTGTGTGCAGGGAACCTTCCACTAGACCACGCCACTCAATGCCCCATTCAATGTGGTCTTGAACATTGCCAGGGATGGAGCATTCACAGCTTTGCTGGGCAATCTGTTCCAGTGCCTCAACACCTCACAAGGAAGAATTTCTTCCATAAATCTAACCTAAATTCCCCTCTTTCAGTCTGAACCCTCTATTCCTTGTCCTATCACTGCAGTTCCTGACAAAGAGTCCCTCTGTGGCTTCCCTGCAGGCCCCCTCTGGATACTGGAAGGCTGCCATGAGGTCTGCATGTAACCTTCTCTTCTTCAGGCAGAACAGCCCCAACTTTCTCGGCCTGTGTTGGTAGGGGAGGTGCTCCGCTCCCGTTATCAACTTCATGCCCTCCTCTGGACCTGCTCCAACAGTTCCATGTCTGTTTTGTGTTGGGGGCACTAGAGCTGAATGCAGTACTTCGGTGGGGTCTCACCAGAGCAGAGTAGAAGGGTAGAATCATCTCTTTCACCCTGCTGGCCACACTGCTTTTGATGAGCCCAGGATATGACTGACTTTCTGGTCTGCAAGTGCACATTGCTGGGTCATGTCCAGCTTCTCATCCACCAGCACCCGCGAAGCTTCTCAATTAGGCACAGGAGGGCTTATGGCCTACTTCTCTCTTCCCATTATCCTAGAGGGTGACTTTACAGCAGATAAAATTCACTGTTCATGCAAATCTAGTTGTTGCAGAAATTCAAGAATACAACACAAACATTAAAATTTCCATCACATGCCTACAAGTTTCTAAGACACTGAGAAAAGCAAAAGCATTAGTAAGATGAAGTAGTTCTTACACTGAGCCAGCTTAAACATTCAAAGCAAACCACTAGCCTTGCAGTAGAAAATTTTTTCTAATTACTGCTACCACTCTTCGTTTGTTACAGAACCACTACTGAAAAGGAACTACTTGCTCTGACAAACGACTGAACTGTGTGTGCACACAATCTGCCCCTGCTCCTGGAGGGAACTGACTGTACTCTCCTCTGCACTGACCCCTCTCGCGATCAATTAGGCTGGAAAAGACATCTGAGATCATCGAGTCCAACCCACGACCGAACACCAAGTTTTCAACACCAAGTGGCCTCCCCAGTACGGCCGCTAGTACAGAATGCACTTCCTTTATTATTAACAACAGGATATTAAAGCCTTCGTGGAAACAACCTATTCGTCAGCTTTGGTAGGTAATGCATTTCCTTTTATAAAAAAATTTAAATAAATGCATAAAATACACTTCCTGGGGTGCCTGTGCAACAAGGCCCCGTGCACGAAGGGCCGCTCTGGTGCCGCCCTGGGACTCTGCTGTTCCCCAGCCGGCGCGGGGGACCTTCTCTCAGCGGGATCAGCGAGGAGAAGCAGCCTCTGAACTCGAAGGGGGAAGGACAGCCCCCCCCGGCCGCTCGCAGCGCTCTCCTCCGAGCATCGCCCGCCACAGCCGCCCCGTGGAGGCTTCGGCCCCGCCGATCCCGGCCCGGCGCTGCCCGCCCAAGCAGCCCGGCGGGGCGGCCCGGCCCCGTCCTCGTCCCCACCCGCTGTCGCCAGGGGCGGCCGCGCTCCCCGGGCCGGGGGCGGGAGGCCGTGGCGCAGCTCCCGCACCCGTGAGGAGCCTCGGCCCCGGGCCCCCCCCGCTGCCCACCCGCGGCACTAACCAGGGTGAGAGCAGCGCGGGTCGCCTGGATCCTGCGCTTGCTGACGGCGCGCACCGTGGCGCGCACCACGGACGAGGCCATGGCCCGCCGCCCTCGGCCATGAGCAGCGCCGCCCGCCCGCACTGACGCCACCACGCACGGCACCGCCCCGCCGGGCCCGGCTCTGACGAGCGGCGGCTCCGCCCCAGGCCCCCGGCGGAGCCCCGCAGGCAGCGGGGCTGCGCGCTGCGATAAAAGGCCCGGGCGGCTCGGACGCCTTATTCTTTAGGGTGCGTCCGCGGAGGACCCAGCGAAACAGCTGTCCGGGTGTCACGTGGAAAGGGAAGGTTTTTCTCGAATCCTTTAATGTTTGATTAGTCTGTTGGCGCCCCTGAAGGACTCACATTAACTGATTATGGAATAACAGTCTTTATTGATACAGAACGTTAAGGGGTTGGAATGGACCTTAAAGATAATCCAGCCCTGGTATCCCCCCTAAATTTACCCCCTTGTTCTGTCATTACAGTTCCTGACAGAGTCCCTCTCTGGCTTCCCTGTAAACCTCCTTTAAATACTGGAAGGTCACTCAGTTTTCCACACAACCTTCTCTTCTCCAGGCTGAACAGCCTCGCCTTTCTCATTCTGTCTTGGAAGGGGAGATGCTTCAGTACTCTTAATAACTTCGTTGCCCTTCTCTGGACTTGCTCCAACAATTCCATGCTCTTAAGCTGGGGACACCAGAACTGTACACAGCACTCCGGGTGAGGTCTCACCAGAGAAGAGAGGCAGGATTATCTCCCTCAGCCTGCTGGCTATGCTGCTTTTGATGCAGCCCAGGATTCTAACAGGGTTAGAATTCAGTGGTTGCTGGTGATAATATCTGACTGCAAAAACGTATTCAAAGCAATATAGTAATTCAAAGCAACCTATTAACGAGCTCTAATCCCAAAGAAAAGCTAGCTGAAGATAGTAATTCAGTGTGCATAGAACACTGTTTTTACCTGATAGGCATCCCTATGGGGGAAAAGATGGGTTCAGCCTGTTGACTGACCCAAAAATTATGATGGAGTCTTCCCTAATTTCCTCCTATTTTTTACTCACTTTTGTATTATTTCCTTACGTTTAGGTAGAGCTTGAGTGACTCCAATCATACATCTTACTCAGTGAGCAGTGGTCATACCCTGGGGGTGGATATCTCAGTTAGTACCTAAAATAACCTTGGGATGGGAAATGCATCAGTCCAAGGAGAATGATTTCAGCATGGTTGCTGATTCAACAGTGGAATGTCTTCCTTTATCTCTCTTGGTTTTCAGCTGCTGTGCAGCTTATCAGCTAGAAAGTACCACCAAATTCCCTCGTGTGCAAGGGAGCATGGCTTACAGTGTCTCCGTTCTGCTCCACATACCATTTAGTCCTGATACTAGAGTTTTGAAGTGTAACAGGACTAGTACAAGAGAATGTACCATGGAAAATTACCTATAGCTGAGCCAAGCAATTTAAAGAAACTAGCCAAGCAAAGTAAATAAACAATGAAGAATGGGACCAAAACAGCCAGGTGGGCAACACCCATTTACTCTGTAACCAGCTATATTATCTTAAAGATGTACATAAGGCAGTCACTTAGAACTTTGGGGGCTCCAGACAGAAATGACCACCAGAGACCCCTGGTGAAGCCACTCAGAGATCTTATAAGGATATATGCTAATAAGTGTTGGGATATGTCATAATATGTAACAGGAACACAGAGAACAAAAATTAATAATCGTGTAATGCTGTAATCAGCTGTAGCAAAGATACCTCTGTGTGCACTTTGGGTTGGGATAAGGCAGTTTATTTAAAGCAAAAAGCAAACTGTAAGCTTACGTGCACAAAAGTGAAGCGAAGCAAAAGATAGCAGGGTTTTTTCTCTACTTCCCATGAGCAGTCATGGTCGGCCACTCCCGAGCAGCGCAGCAGGGCTTCAGCATACATGACAGTTCCTCAGCAGGCAGCCATTAGACAATGACTGCCTGCCTTCCTGCTCCTTGCCTTAGCTTTTATATCTGAGCTGACATCATATGGTATGGAATATCCCTTTTTGTTAGTTGGCCTACTTGGGTCCCCTCCAAGGATCTTGCCCTCAACTGAGGAAGCAATGTTACAGTGCTGATGCTGTGCTCAGCAGTAGCCAAAACAGTGGTGTGTTATCGACACCCTTCTAGCTACCAATGCAAAGCACAGCACTGTGAGGGCTACTGAGGGGAAATGAACTCCAGCTCAGCCAAACCCAGTATAATCACTCACAGTCTACCATGCAGGCATAAAGGGACAGAGTATGCACGTGGCTCAAAAGAGGTCTTCTAAAACTATTTGTTTATTAGTATTTATTACTACATTTTATTAGTATGAATTTAGTTGTAAACTATTATTTTATTACTGTTACCTTTAATATAATTCCTTTTCTAGAAACTTTTTACCAATGTAGTGTGTCTATGTGCAAAGCTGCTCCCTTGAGAACATACTCTCATAAGGAAAACAGGGTATCTTCTATGTCAAGAATTGTTATGAAGAACTTACAGGTCTCCAGTTTTAATTTTCAATCAATCTCCTATACTTTACAACTTAATCCAGCAGATATATATCCTATGCCTCCTCAACTGCATTTCTTCTATGTCACACATCCTGTAAATTATGACTGTGGTATTTAAAAACTTTTTAAGCAAACAAAGGATTGCTTAATAGTTTAATGTCTGTAATATATATCCCAAGTCTGGGCATTTCACTTCAGGGCTATGAGATTAGCAACTATATAGTAGTTGCATAAGGAAACAGCATCTTCAAATGAGAAGACTCGTGGATCTGCAGAATGAGTTTTTATCCAGATGCAAGTTTAGAAATTTCACTGTTGAAAATGTCACCACTGAACTACAAAGTATCACAAAGAGAAAAGGGTGAGTATACATAAATCTGATTACGTTTTTCTTTTAAAAATAACTTCTGTCTTTGAGATTAAGCCATAGTCCCCTAGAGGTTTACACAATTCATTCTCATCAGCAAAACTGGAACTCTGAACAGAGGGTTAAATAAAACACACAGAATTCATGTCAGCCTTTTTTTATATATATATGAGTGAAAAACTACAATAATTAATTTATTTTTGAGGGAAGAACTGACTTTATTTCAGATGATGAAATATGGTATAGAAGACAAAGTTGGAATTATTTTCTCTTTGTTGCTGACTTATGTTTTGCTTGAAATTATGTTTAGAAAAGTACACAGAACAAATTCCTTGTGAAATAGCACATCTAGAAGTTCACAGATAGCTAATTTCAGATGGATGAAAACCAAAGCACGAGTTAGGATCCCAGTTCCTTAAGACCAGTTTGGCAATTCTAGTTTTCAACTTTAATAAAAATAGATGGACAAGGAAAATAAAATTGAACATGATATTTCTAAAACAAGATAATTCTAATAACTCATCATTAATTCTACATTTATGTCAGGAACATTGAAAACTACAACCTAAGAAAAATTACAAGATCTTAAATCTGATTTTTTTTAGAATTTATTTCAGATTCATAAATTAACAGTGGTTTCCATTTTAACATGTAATTTATTCTTTCCTGAACAAGATAAAATGGTACATTACCAGCTCTGGAAGGACTTCAAGTAAAGCTCAAGTTCATACTACTAATGAATGTAAATTCTTGACTGGTACAAGGATTCTCTTCACATTCTATGAAAAAGGATGTGTGTTTTTCCCCATTTGCCAAATATAATAGCTCTATTCCTTAAAATACTTCTATTCCTTTTGTCTGTATCCCCAAGGCCTTGAAAAAGATTCTTAGCAGCAACAAAACAGGACAGACCTGTTTCTTAGTCTTTTTTTCTGCTTGAACACAAGCACAGCAGCAAATGAACTCCCATGAAGTCACAGAACAGAAAAAAACCTCACAAAATCTCAACGGCACTCCTTGGCCAGGGATTGTTTTACATATGTTTACTAGTGTCTATGTTTTCAGTTCTCTACAGAAATTAAAGATAATGTACCAATCTACAAACATTTCAAACACTTACACAAGGATTCAGTAAACAATTAACATTAATAAATATAATTTGCTCCTTCAAAAAAATTAATTTTTGAAGAAAATATAATTTATTTGGCTTGCACACAATTTTAGTGCAGTTTAAGATGGTCAGGTGGAACAGCAAAACCTTGAAAACAGTTCATTTTAGTACCTGCCCTTTTCTAGATGATTTACCTAGTAAACAAATACAAAACATCACGGCTTTCTATTAAAATGTTTAAACAATCTATTTAAGAGCAGGGTTCCATATTAGAATCCACAGTTGCTTGTACTAGCAATCTAAAATAAAACTTAAGTCGAATGTTGTCTGTGCTGCTGTCCTGTGAATCCAGATGCTTTAGCCAAGGACATTTCTTTTAAATGAATGATGGGCCTGTACTGCAATTTACCAGTGCTTAATAACCCTCATGATTCTTGTTGGGTCTTCTTCTGTGAGGCTTTTCCCTGAGTCATGTATTTATTGGAAAGGCTGCCTAAGATTGGGAGGAAGAAAGCATCACACTTTAAAGGTATTGTTTTTTTCTTTCTTTCTTTTTTTTAAAAAAGACAAGGCATAAACCAACTGAAAGAATCAGAAAGGAGAAAATTACTGTTAAGTCAAACTATAATGAAAGGACACACAGATCAATTTTAGATCATTACCTGCTGAAGGACAGTAAGAAATATTAAAATACAAAATTGAAAATCAGCATTTTTTTCAACTAAACACCTAATGACAGATCACTTTGTGTTAAAAATCCCCAAACATAGATTTGAAAAAGCCTTGCAGTGAAGACAAAATCCACTGTGTCTTCCCAACAAAACTGATAATCTGAGATAGTTAATTGCAGTAAAGTCTTTACAATCTTTGGAAAACTAATTAGGTCTCCCTTCAGCTGCCTCAGTAGAGATTTGTATATTATAAACCCAAGCTGCTAAAAGGTTTGCAGAGTTGTACTAGAAACTCAAAATAATTGAAAAAAACCAGTTGTTTTTAAGATCTTCATTGTACCTGTTAATAAGTATGTGAAATTACTGTAAGGAAGCTACATTTGTAATCATGCATCTGAAGCAAAACATCTCTGATCCAGAAAGAATACATAAAGGCCTTTATAATATAATCT